GTTAAATAAACAGTATTGCAGTTGAGGAGTTCTTTGCACTGTACCTGTCATTGAACTTCTATAACTTGTGTTGAATATTGGTAAACAATTCAATGGTTTTGTTGCTGTATTTTGTATGTGAGGAATGTCTTATGTGAATTGCTCCAACTAGTGGCAGAACATTTGAAATCTTTTGTTTGAAAAAAATGCTACAAAATTTTATTATTTGTCCATGTTATAAGGTACAAAAAATTGCTTATTATTTCCGTTGATTAATGTTTCTCCCATTTTCAACTTGGGTGCCATGGAGACTATTGCTTTCATTACCGGGGTAGTTCCTTTTTAATTTCAATCAGAAAAAGTATTTTTAGAAATTGAGTGACCACAGAATGTCAAAGTTCAAGCCCTCAACTTGTATTACAATGTAAATTCTTAATACATTATATATTCATGGAAAGATATGTACATTGGTTTTACATATCAACAAAAACAACTTAATGGTTAAAATCTGATCAGATAAAACCTGGGATGAGACACTTAATTGTTTTAAACATATTATTATTATTTTGTTACTTACTGGTATAAGGAATATAATTGTTAAAATTTTAATTTTCCATAATTCTGTGGTTTCATGTTTGTAATTTATTTCCCCTTACTTTATTCAGTTATCGTCCTCATGGCAACGCATCAAATCCAACATTAGCGCCGTCTCCTTCATATGACTATGCTATGGCTGCTCCCAGAGGAAGATCACCAGGCCGACGAAAAGAAAAGAGACGAAGATCAAGAGATGAGGTATGATGGCATTTTTGTTGTTTTTTCCCATGACACCTATTCCTCTCATACATTTACATATAGAACATGAAAGCTATTTACTATCTGCAATAACATTAAAAGTTTGGGAAACTAAACAGGAATTGAAAATGAAAATAAAAATTGATGTTGTCCAGTTGCAATAGTACTTCCTTCTAGCATGGAGGTAAAGAGAGAAAGAGTCAAAGCCACGCTTAGATCAAAGGTACCAGGATAGTCGCCACTGTTTGCCCATGGCGCTAACACGGTCGCGTAAGGTTTATAATATTTCAATACAAGGCATGTCAGAAACAACAATGTCCATTTTATTGTACACAAATATGTCATAGTGAGTAGCACATAATATGGTGTGATTTAACAACATGTAAAAACACAGAGGTGTGAATATTATGGGATATACAGGGATGGACGAAAACAAGTAATGGTTGATATCCATGCTGAAATGCAAACAGAGGTACATTGCAAGTGCGCCCTCTATGTTACTGAGGTGAAATGATGCTGCCTCTATTTATGACATTCACCTCCACTCAATGCAAATAATGTAAACTGGAATTTTGTATTTATTTAGAAAATCTGTTTTTGGCACCAGGATTTTCAGGTTCAGTTCAGGTTTTACTTCTGCTTCTTTCCAAACCAATTAACTCTTCATGTCCATTTATTTCCCAAAAAGCCTCATTTACGTGATGTCCAGTACTCTTCAGTTAACATGATTTGTGAACCACTTTGTTTCCTTTATGTAAATCTTGAGACAAGGATAGAGAAAGCATTAGTTTAATAATTCAGTGTTGTCATGGCATTTCCATGGTAACAACGTTACTGGATTGGGTGGTTAGGTAATTGCCCTCCAATTGTATAATAGTTCCACAAATCGGGGTGATTTAACTTTTTTCATGGGCAATTGAATTCTCTGTTAATCATGGCAACTGAAAAAAAAGTAATCACAAAAGTAATCAAGGTTAATACGGTATGTTAAATTGTCCTTACACCAGTCACTTTCTATGGAACCTGCTTATATGTACCGGACTGGTTGTTGTATCCGGACTGGTGGTTGTATCCGGACTGGCAGCTATATAGTGTTTTGTCTCACTTGCATTAACCAGCTACATTGATACTTGCATTAACCAGCTACATTGATACTTGCATTAACCAGCTACATTGATACTTGCATTAACCAGCTACATTGATACTTGCATTAACCAGCTACATTGATACTTGCATTAACCAGCTACATTGATACTTGCATGTGTGCCTATATTATTATATGTAATGGTACTTGAAATGCCCTTCTTTGTCCGAATGTTGTATTGTTTCGGACTTGATCTTGACCAAAATAGTAATTCCTAGATTAAGTGTTTGTCCTTTAGTCATCCAGTACTGTAAATTAGGAAGTGATATCCTGCTTATAGTTGTCATCACTCACATAACACTCTTGTATTTATATAACTACGTATATACACAGACATAAACTCATTATCTAGTACTTATAGGTTTCACACTACAATTAGAACTCTGGGTGTGAGATCAAATAAATATAACAAAAAAAATATTTTCCAAAGAACTTTAGTATTGGGGTTGGATACTTTTATTTAAAACTGTTTTATTAAAAAAAATATCAGAATAACCATTTCTTAGATTTTTAAGTGGAAATTTAGTGAAAGCAATTTGGTAAATAGTTTTGGTTTTGATTTAATTACTATAATAATGTTTAGTCTTACACTTTAAAAATGCTTTTCAAATTTCATCAGTAAAATATTTTGAATGTTTGAACTTTATATGTGTAAAGCCATTCTTTTTATCTCCATGGGATTTCTTTGCAGTGTGAACTCAATATTAGGCACCACCCTGTATACTGCAATGTTATATAAATAACACATTACACAAGTACATGTATATCTTCTATTTTTAATCTACCGATGTATTCAAAATTAATATAAAATAATTTAAAATATTGATATGAAAAAGTTAGTGTGATTATTGATTCATCAGTCTATGTTTACTCATTCTCAGGGGTATGTGGTTTACTTTGCCAAAATGTCACTTATTTTGTGATTTTGTGATTTTGTATTAATGAGATTGGATCTTGTATCTGTGGTTATAAACATGGTGTGGATGTGGTTAGCATAGTGTAAATTCTTGTCATCTCTGTGTAACTCAATATTTGGGTCAAAAAGAATAAGGTACTTTGGAAAGAAACAGATTTTTTCTGTTTCAGTGTCTGTGTCAGTGATGTTACACCAGTACAGTATAGAAATAAATGTGCATTAAAATTAAACTTTTTTTGACCCCTTTCGCTCCATTAGAGTGTCAGAATGCATACATCTTGACTTCCTATAATGAGATAAATAGTAATTACATGTCTTGACTGGAGGACTCTACATTAGTGATATGAGGCAGTATGTGGTACGTTATACATGTATGTATGGACATTGTACACTCTGTGCTCTCTGCATCTAGACAACATTTCTGTGAGAATCTAGTCTTTGAAGCCTAAGTGTTAGATATAATTGTGCTTCTAGGATTGCCATGGTTACAGTTGAAACAGCATATCCACATATTTGGTAACCATTTCAATTGTGCAGTTGAGTTCACATTGTAAATGGAATTTTTTTACAATTCCCATGTGTGTGTGGGCCAAGTTTACATTGGCACTATACTGGTATTATGGTTTTAAAGTGTTCAAATCTCTCAAGAATTTCTAAATACTAGATAGGTACATTGGAATAACGTCCCAATTTGTCTCCTATTTCTCCCATTAGTGGTGAGTTTGTAAGTGTTCTGACCAGGAATTTCCAAATTGTGAATGAGTGTTTAAATATTGAGGTCAGAGTTCAGGTTGGGAAGAGTCAGTACATCTATTGGTATGCTTGGCGGGAAGTATGTGTGTGAAACCCGAGAAGATGGCATCATCACTTTAATCTACACCAACCAGTTGTTTCTCTCTGTCATCCCTTGCTCATAAATTATACATATGGCATGCAGAGTCTAAGCCCCCTTTGCTCTTCAAGCAGTGTGTCCTTGCTAGCAAACAGGGAGTGTACAATATACCATCATCAGTTTTGTTCTCCCAATACCAATACTCCTGTTTGTTGAATCACATCATGAACTATGGAGGAGAAATCTAAAGAGGTGACACCTATAGAGGAAAAACTGAAAGAGGATATTCCTATGGTGGATGAACTTGAAGAGGACTCTGTGGACAAACCCAAAGAGCTTTGTATTTATGTAACGGTAAGCTGATGTACAAGGTGTCCCTGAAATGACAGGCTGCTTTTTATCTTATCTATTTCATCTTGTCATATCATGGTGAGACAGTTAAAAATATGGATCTAGTGTTTAGAACAATTTCCGCTACTACTGGGTATTTCTAGGCAGTTGACTGATGAATTATTAGTACAGTTCAGGGTCTCCTGGTGAAATGCTGAATCTGTTCTCAGTGGGGGATCATCAAATGTTATATCACTGTGTGTCAGTTTATTATTAACAAATGTTTACAATTATGGACACAAGACTGTGTTATTAAACTCTGGATAATTGGCAGTGCTATACCTAAGTTTTCATGTCTACATGTTTACTTGGCATGGTTACACTTGGTAGACACCAGTCATGTGGCTACATATGTTAGCAATTAGCTTGTATGACAGATATCCCAGGTCATCCAGAACCATCTTTCTGGAAATAAGCCATGTATTCCGAACTTAGTGGAGCTAATGAAGTTTTTTAAAAATAATCCCAAACAAATTATTTTTCGAATATGATAGTTTGTTATTTATGACTGTCTGTGAAAAAGCTGAATTAATCGTCATGCCAACCCAAGTCTGGAGATATTATCTATAATCTCTTTAGACCTTAGAGTAACTTTGTGATAACTAGTGTTTTGCTGATTAGCAAGTATAATGCAACAAATATGTAGAAAAGTTAAAAATTTACTTATATCACACTATTTTAAAAACTACAATCTTCTACTTAGCAAACGCAAATTGTTTATTTAAAATACATTCACAGTGAACTTGATATAAAAAGAATCAAGACTTATTCCAAAGTGCTGTTCTATTTTTGGCCCTTGTAAAATAATCTACAAATCCAGAGCTGTGATTTAGCATAATTTGTTAAAATCATAAATGTCACTATTTAAACTGCCACTGGTATTATGGACTGAAACCATGTTGTCAGGATTCTAAATAAACTGGCTTTATACATACACCTAATCAAATTGACACTTAGTCACCTGATCAAGAGTGATTTTGTTTTTACTGTTCCTAAACTATGTGCATAATATATTTGGTTAGACATCAGTCATTGTTAATAGCATTATTAGAAGATAACTGTCCTATTTCACATCATCTGTTTGTCTGATGTGACACAGGACTTTAAATTGACAGTAACCAAGAAAAACACACTTTCAATACCGTTATATCATTTGCCAAAATTAGTTTCCAAAATTTGTCACTAGGAATTTTAAAATAATTTTGTTTTTTCAGACCTTACTTTGTAAAGAGAGAGCTGACTTCTCTTGTCTTTCACCAGCTAAAATTAAGACCCAGAAAAGCTGATTATCACTAGTTTAAAGAGATTGTAATAATGTAGCTACCATAATCATTTGTATTACCTTGTTTAGGGAGAGCCATTTTAAACTTACAGGCCTTTTCTGAAAGGCAAGATCTGTTTTCAAGAAGTAAGCCCAGCAAATAACAAGATATTGTATCAATGAAAATCATGAACTCAGTTGAGTACTTGTTTTTAATGGAAATGCATTTTACTGAAACATTTTGATATATGACTGGATTGCTGTAAATTGTTAAATGTTTGCTGCAAAAGATAGTCTCAGTTTGATAGTGTTTACAAATCTTTGACTCAGTGTTAAGAACATTTCTAGACTGGTGGAATTCTAGAAAATGGGTCTCTTGTGAATTAAAGCAGTTGACAGTACTTCTTCTAGTAACCGTAACTTCTAGTAACCGTGATGATGTTCCCAACTTATGGCA